AGACAGCTGATGATTGTAAAGTGCTTTGGGTGTGTAGCCATAGGCAACTGCATACTTAACACAAACTTGTCCACTGCTTTGCAGTGAGGGTTTAGTTTAGGGGTAGAGGAGGAACACCACCAATACCAATGTGTGTGTGTGTGATTGTTTTTATTTGATTTAGTTGATGATTGTGTGAGTATGACTTACGTTTGTGTGTATAAGAGTGTGTGTGTGTACCGTTGTGGCTGGACTCTGGTGTCACTGGTATGTACTCCACAAAGTCCTCTTTTGAGTCTCCATTCTCATTACTGTCCACATCCAGGAGTTTAGCTCTCATAGACAAACTGACGCACACACACACACACACACACACAAGAGCATGTCACTATAGCAGTTCACATAAACACTGATGCAGTTAAAAAACGCACAAGCATGCACACACACACACACACACACACACACACACCTGTCCTGTGTAGTGAGTCTCAAGATTTTGGGGCTCTTGGGGTTCAGGTGTGTAGTGAATCTCTTCTCTCCATTGCTGTTCTTCAGAGGCAGAGACTCTGGCGACCACACTGAGCTCCACTTACTCTCACTGGGCATCACTGCAGAAAAAACACAGCTGAGACGCAGCAGCGCCAACGTGTGGACAGCACAGAAACTACACTACAAACTAAGATCAGCATTTTATTGGATTGTCTTTTTGTCTTGTTTCCAGTGGACATATATCTCAAAATCCTGAAATCAAGAAACATTTTCTAGAGAAGCAAAACATATTTTGTTGTTTTCAGAAATGAGGAGTCAAAATTAAGATCATTTCTCATTATAAGATGCTAAACAATCTGCCAATGGGGGAAGCAGAATTATGTTTATTTAACGCCAAAAACAAGATTATTATGTTTCAATTGAAAATGTACTTAATTTTGATATTATTTACTTTTTAAAACAAGCCTATATTATGTACAATGCTGTTTCTGAACACACACACACACACACACTCACGCTGTATGGCTCTGAAGCGCGGGCCGATGGATGGAGACCCCAAATCTGGAGAATTTCGCCTCTTCTCCAAACCCGGAGACGCTTGCACCGTGATCTTATGGATGAAATCTACAGCAGAAAAACACACACACACACACACACACAGACACACACACACACACACACACTACTTATAATCAAATCATGATCAACATTCACCAGTCATAAAAATGACACACATGTCCACGTGGCTGAACTGACGATACAGCAGAGTTTGACTAAAGCTCTATTCAGACGGCTCTAGTTTTTGAGTCACAGTTGTTTTCAGGTGACCTCTGTGGTGTGTATTCAGATGGGATTAGCATTTGTGTGTGTGAGTGTGTGTGTGCATTTAACATGTAGGCTTATAAAGTGTCATGGATTATAAAATAATCTACAACGATATATCCCATCCAGCCCTAATCAATCCTAATTAAAATGCTTTCAAATTTGAACACAGCCATGTCTCACCCTGGGTTAGACGTCTCATTAAGTCATCAAGGGCGCTTCCATCATTATTTTTAGGGGGAACATAAATGTGTGTGTCATCAGCATAAAAATGAAAATCTACCCCACATTTATACAAAATTAAACTTGCAGTTAAAATATAATCATATTTACAGGAGAATAAAATGGGGCTGAGAACAGAGCCGTGATGAACCCCACATCAGTGGAGGAAAATGTCTGTCCAATATTAAAGGGCAGCAGTGATGCTAAATCAGGGTATATGCAGGATCCTAAAGGTAATACAAAACCTTTTGAAGACCTTTTAAAGACCTTCTCAGAATATTTGAAGACCTCATCGCCACTTCTTATTTAATCAGTATTAAACCTTTAACTTAATAATGAGTTGCTAATGAACAGTTGTGCTTAAATAAATGAATGGAGCACAACAATAACATTGACACCGCTTGAACTCAATTTAAAACCCTCTAAAAACAAGATTAAGACTTTTTAATTCCTTGTAAGGGCCTAAACTTTCTCATGATTAATTGATCAGCTTTTAGGACTTTTCAAGACACTGCGGACACCCTGTAAATCAGTGAGGGTGTGCTGTTTGCACAGCAGTGTGTGTAGCACTGGAGTGACAGAAACACAACAAATCTCTTCTCTTAAATTTCCTGATGGTAAAATATGATCCAAATCTCATTGAGACGTAGGAGTGCGGTTTCCCCTCCCACTGAGGTTTCACGCTCAGAATCGCTCACGTTTGGATTTACTAACAATAAACTGAACGTGGGAATGTGCGCAGCTCCACGGCAGCTTTCTGGCTGGCGTACGCACATTTTTTGTGCGTGTCTGTTTTATTTGCATTGGCGACTCCTAGAGGCAGTTGTGTTAAATTCCTCTCTACAAAGTGTCTGAGCCGTGCAATGGCAGCTGTATGAGACGGGTTCATCTAGCAGGTATATAAGGTTTCCATACCATACATTTGACCAGCTAAACATTAAAGCGCAATTTGCAGCGGTCGCCTGTTTTCAACAATGTAATCTGAGCTATCTACCGCATGCACATTGCTATAAAGACACTATCTGAAGATGAATTTGCATGCGTGAATCAGAAACATTTCCATTCAATAAATGTGCAAATAAAATATGATGCACAGACTTATTAATGATTCCTACTTGTCTTTCTCGTGATAAATAGAAGGCAAAATCTGTTCTCGTGATAAATAGTGGGCAAAATCTGATATGTAGCGGAGGAAAAAAGAAGAATGAGTTCATCAGACGCTGGATTCGAGCCGAGTTCATGCTCGAACGTGTCAAAACATGTTGACATGCGTCGTACGAGCTGCGCCACTGAGACTGCTAAGGGTACTGCAACATTTTACAGATATAAACCACATTATTTCTTTTTTTTTAATGCACTCAGTGCGATGTTCAGACCCAACTGTGTTAACCGCATCAGCTAAACTCTCCCACTCTATTTTTTTTCTTTTGTTGTTAATTCCGGAGAACAAACTTGCAAATAACACCGCTTTTCTCCGGTCTACCTCTGAAAGCAGCACCTCCAGTTCACATTCTGTTCAAAGTTTCTCTTCTTGCTTGCTTTTGCCGTTGCTTTTTCGTTGGGTTTTGCCAAAGTAGCGTCATTAGCATATTCACACAGGGGCGGAGTCAGGGAGGGGTTTTATGCTCGTGCATGTTGCGCTCAGTTTCACGTTCACTCGGATGTACAAAGAGAATATGCGTGTGATTTGGCGTATGCAGTGTTTCATACATCTGAATTTTTTTCTGAGGCCCCTGGATTAGCAAATATACCGTGATTAAAAGCTCTGTTCAGCGCCCTGTGATCAGCTGCAGCTCAGGAACGAGCTCATGAGATTGACACGCTTCTAAAACAGAGCTTGTTAGAATCCCCACAGCCACATAGTGTCAGTAAACGTGTGTGTGTGTGTGTGTGTGTGTGTGTGTGTGTGTGTGTGTGTGTGTGTGTGTGTATAGCTGACCCTGAGGCATGCTGATCTTCTCTCCGTTCTTCCCCTTGAGCTTGTGCTTCTTGAAGGTGCCCTTGCGCTTCTTGACGTTGGGTCTGTGGTTGTGGTTGAGGTTGAGGATGAGCAGCGAGAGCTCGCGCTCGAACACCTCCTGCTCCCACTGGGCCAGCTGCTGCTCCCGCTGGCGGAGGAACTCCTCATGAGACTTCTGCTCCAGCGCTGCTCGCTTCAGCTCCTCCTCACGGCAGCGCAGCTCCTACACACACACACGCACACACACAAGATTACTGTATTAATATGAACTAAAAACACTGGTTAAGGGCGGCACGGTGGTGCAGTGGTTAGCACTGTGGCCTCACAGCAAGAAGGTCGCTGGTTCGAGTCTTGGCTGGGTCAGTTGGCATTTCTGTGTGGAGTTTGCATGTTCTCCTCGTGTTGGCGTGGTGCTCCGGTTTTTAACACAGTCCAAACACATGCGCTATAGGGGAACTGATGAAGTAAATTGGCCATAATGTATGTGTGTAACCGGGTGGGTATGGGGGGTTTCCCCCGTTTGGGTTTGTGACTGGAGGGGCTTCGGCTGTTTAAAACATTTGTTGAAATAGTTGGCGGTTCATTCCTCTTTGGTAACCCCTGGGTTATAAAAGGACTTGGCCCAAATGAAAATGAATGAATGAATGAATGAATGAAAGACAGTGTAAAGGATGTATAGAGCAGTCTTGGATCAGTTCACAGCTCTTCATGACTCGAGTGGGATTCAAGTCTAATATAGTGAGGTAAGGCAAGCGTCCTGCTGATGTGATGGTTAAGGGTTTCATCATCTCTCTGGGGGTAAAATCAGTGTATACTGCGCGTGTGTGTTGCACCTTCTCTTTGGCGCGCAGCTCATCGAACATGTCCTGGATCTCCAGCTTCCAGTCCTCCTGCAGCGAGTGAAAGGAGTCCTGCGGCATCTCGTACATCACCTGCTCCTCCAGAGCCGTCAGCTGCTCCAGAATACAGCCGAAACTGGGCCGCCGGTGCGGATCCTGATCCCAGCACTCTGCGCACACACACACAGGCACACACAGGCACACACAGGCACACACAGGCACACACAGGCACACACACACAGTGAGAGAGGAAAAAGTCAAAACACACACACAGAGAGACAATGAAGTGGGATGGATGGATGTAATATATTTATAAAAAAATTGAATAAGTGAATGAGTGAGGGAGTTTTTGAGGGAGTTTGTGAATGAGTGAGTGAGTGAGTGAGTGAGTGAGTGAGTGAGTGAGTGAGTGAGTGGATGGACATATGAGTGAGTGATTGAGTGAGTGAGTGAGTGAGTGAGTGAGTGAGTGAGTGAGTGAGTTTGTGAGTGAGTGAGTGACTGACTGACTGACTGAATGAGTTTGTGAGTGAGTGAGTGAGTGGATGGACATATGAGTGAGTGATTGAGTGAGTGAGTGAGTGTGTTTGTGAGTGAGTGAGTGAGTGAGTTTTTGAGGGAGTTTGTGAGTGAGTGAGTGAGTGAGTGAGTTTGTGAGTGAGTGAGTGAGTGAGTGAGTGAGTGAGTGAGTGAGTGGATGGACATATAAGTGAGTGAGTGAGTGAGTGAGTGAGTGACTGACTGACTGACTGACTGAGTTTGTGAGGGAGTTTGTGAGTGAGTGAGTGGATGGACATATGAGTAAGTGAGTGAGTGACTGACTGACTGACTGACTGAGTTTGTGAGTGAGTTTGTGAGTGAGTGAGTGGATGGACATATGAGTAAGTGAGTGAGTGACTGACTGACTGACTGACTGAGTTTGTGAGTGAGTTTGTGAGTGAGTGAGTGAGTGAGTGACTGAAAGAATGAGTGAGTGAGTTTGTGAGTGAGTGAGAGAGTGGATGGACATATGAGTGAGTGAGTGAGTTTGTTAGTGAGTGAGTTTGTGAGGGAGTTTGTGAGTGAGTGGATAGACATATGAGTGAGTGAGTGAGTTTGTTAGTGAGTGAGTTTGTGAGGGAGTTTGTGAGTGAGTGGATAGACATATGAGTGAGCGAGTGAGTAAGTTTGTGAGTGAGTGAGTTTGTGAGTGAGTGAGTGAGTGAGTAAGTGAGTGAGTGAGTGAGTGGATGGACATATGAGTGAGTGAGTGAGTGAGTGGATGGACATATGAGTGAGTGACTGAGTGAGTGACTGACTGAGTGAGTGAGTGGATGGACATATGAGTGAGTGAGTGAGTGAGTGAGTGAGTGGATGGACATATGAGTGAGTGACTGAGTGAGTGACTGAGTGAGTGAGTGAGTGGATGGACATATGAGTGAGTGAGTGAGTGAGTGGATGGACATATGAGTGAGTGACTGAGTGAGTGACTGACTGAGTGAGTGAGTGAGTGGATGGACATATGAGTGAGTGAGTGAGTGAGGGAGTGACTGAATGTGTGGATGGACAGATCAATAGATAAGATGTATATGGACAGATGGATGGATGAGTGAGTGACTAAGTGAATGGATGGACAGATGGATGGATGAGTGAGTGGATGGACAGATGGAGGAATATGAGTGAATGGACAAATGGATGAGCGAGCGAGTGGATGAACAGATGGATGGATAAGAGTGTATGGACAGATGGATAGATGAGAGAGTGACTAGGTGAATGGATGGACAGATGGATGGATGAGTGAGTGACTAAGTGAATGGATGGACAGATGGAGGAATATGAGTGAATGGACAAATGGATGAGCAGGCAAGTGGATGAACAGATGGATGGATAAGTGGGTGAATGGACAGATGGATGAATGAGTGAGTGAGTGAGTGAGTGAGTGAGTGAGTGAGTGAATGAGTGAATGAGTGAGTGAGTGAGTGAGTGAGTGAGTGAGTGAGTGAGTGGATGGACAGATGAATGGATAAGTGAGTGGATAGACAGATGAGTGAGTGAGTGAACAGCTGGATAGATGGATGAGTAAGAGAGACTAAGTGAGTGGATAGATGGATGGATGGATGGAGGGATGGAAGGATGAGTGAGTAAGAGAGTGGGTGAGTGGATGTACAGATGGATGGATGAGTAGATGGACAGATGACTGACCGGACATGAGCTGAGCGAAGGGTTCAGGGCAGGTTGAAGGGATCGGCAGGGTCAGTTTGTTCACAGCGACTCCATAAGCAACAGCCAGACCATCAATCCCTCTGTAGGGAGCCTCTCCAGTCAGCAGCTCCCATAATAACACACCATAGCTACGGAGAGAGAGAGAGAGAGAGAGAGAGAGAGAGGGAGAGAAAGAGAGAGAGAGAGAGAGAGAGAGAGAGAGGCCCACAGCAGTTTTATATAGCCGTCTAATTACAGCGTACACAAACACACACAAACACACACACTACAGCGCTCCCAGGAAGACCTCAAACTGCAGAAATACTGCCATCTCTGAGTCGAGACGTGCAAATTAGACGAGAACATTTGATTTATCCCTGCAGAGGAAAAAGGTTTTAAGGGAAACGGTGAAGCGATACGCCTAATCTGTGTCTGTGAGCGATGAATTTAAAGCCAGTTAATGTGCGCGCAGCATTAGCATTCAGCCGAGCTGGAGAGAAATGAGCTGCTACACACAGACTTTCATTAGGGACCGAGCACCGAACGGTGCAAGGCCCTATTGGAATTGCTCCGTTTTTTATTATTATTATTCCGCCCCTAATCGGGGCATTTTTGAGGGTCTAAACATGCCCGAAAACTCATGAAAATTTGCACACACACCAAACGCGGTGTAAATGGCTTGCTGATATAGGTCTCGGCAGTGGGCGTGGCAAAATGACTCGACAGCGCCACCTAGAAAAATTAAACGGACGAGCCCCCGATATATGAATCACGCACATGCACGAAAATCGGCACACACCTCAAACATGCCAAAACATACGAAAAAGTCTCTTGGAGCCATATCTCAAACCCAACAGGAAGTCAGATATTTTTAACTTCCTGCGGCGAAAAAGTGGCGTTTTTGCCATTTCCAGGTGTTGTACTTTAACGAACTCCTCCTAGGGATTTTATCCGATCGACACCAAAATTGGGTTTTGTCATCTAAAGGCCTTGGCGATGTTAAATTGCGAAGCTTTAGAGTTTTCGTCGATGGGCGTGTCTGTGGCGGCCTCGCAAACTTTGACGATTCGCCACAAAACAGGAAGTCGTTATAACTCGGGCATGCATTATCCGATCTGCCTCAAAATTCACACGATTGATAACAGTCCTGACCTGACCAGGTTTACATGCCAATATCCAGATATAGTTACAGCGCCACCTGCTGGCCACAGGAAATGACATGATTTACTGAGTAACAAACTCCTCCCACAAATTTTATCGTATCACTACCAAAATTGGGTGGTGTTATCTGAAAGGTCTAGCGATGATATATTGTAAAGATCTTGAGTTTTCGCAGAGGGGCGTGTCCATGGCGGCATGACAAACCTCAACGTTTCGCCATGGAACAGGAAGTCCTTATAACTCAGCCACACAATGTCCAATATGCCTGAAACTTCACATGATTAATGAAATTCCTCTCCTGAACATATCCCATAACAATATTGAAGTGGACATGGCAAAACGACTCGATAGCGCCACCTAGAAAAATTTAACAGACGAGCCCCCGATCCACGAATCACGCACATGCACGAAAATTGGCACACACCTCAAACATGCCAAAACATACGAAAAAGTCTCTTGGAGCCATATCTCAAACCCAACAGGAAGTCGGATATTTTTTACTTCCTGCGGCGAAAAAGTGGCGTTTTTGCCATTTCCAGGCGTTGTACTTTAACGAACTCCTCCTAGGGATTTTATCCGATCGACACCAAAATTGGCTTTTGTCATCTAAAGGCCTTGGCGATGTTAAATTGCGAAGCTTTAGAGTTTTCGTCGATGGGCGTGTCCGTGGCGGCCTCACAAACTTTGACGATTCGCCACAAAACAGGAAGTCGTTATAACTCAGTGATGCATTATCCGATCTGCCTCAAAATTCACACGTTTGATAAGAGTCCTGACCAGAACACGTTTACATGCCAATATCCAGATACAGTTATAGCGCCACCTGCTGGCCACAGGAAATGACATGTTTTACGGAGTAACAAACTCCTCCCACAAATTTTTTCGTATCAGCACCAAAATTGGGTAGTGTTATCTAAAAGCTCTAGCGATGATATATTGTGAAGATCTAGAGTTTTCGCAGAGGGGCGTGTCCGTGGCGGCATGACAAACCTCAACGCTTCGCCATGGAACAGAAAGTCCTCATAACTCAACCACACAATGTAAAATATGCCTGAAACTTCACATGGTTAATGAAATTCCTCTCCTGAACATATCCCATAACAATA